TTTTCCTCTTGTTTTAGTGAATGGTGGCCTGAGTAAATGCTCTTTAGGCAAAAGCATTTAAGCTACCTCTTATACATCACCCATATTTCTAGGATATTCGATTATAGAAGATTGCTGTGGATATTTGTCCTATATTTGAACTAGAATCTTCTACATGATAGTTGTATGCTAGTTGCAAACTTATTTAAGTGTCCAAGGACTTATATTTTAATTTATAAAACCAGGGAAATAAAATGGTAATGGATGAGGTGGTCGCAGAATGCTTCAAGAGATGGTAATGATAAAAAAAACTGGATGAAATATACATTTAAAAGACCTCTTGGGGACTGGAGCATGGGTCAAGTGGTTGAGCTTCACAAGTATTGGAAGCCATGAGTTTAAATTTCAGTTCTGCCAAACAACAGATAAACAAACAAGCAAAAAACTCTTGGAGCTGGGTGTTAATGGCATACCTATCCAGGGGATCTCAAATTCAACCAGCCAGACAGAATTACAAAGATCAAATCTAAAAACAAAATACAAACGAAAGGTTGGGGAGGGTGATTCCCTTGGTAAGGGCTCCCAGCAGACTCAATGCTCTGGGAGGCCCTGGGCGCAGTTCCAACTCTCTTGGGGCGTGGTTGTAAGCTCAGTTATAGTGCACTTGCCTAGGATACCCAAGGCCTTGGGGCTCAATTCCAGCACTACACCAAAAAACAAAATAAAAAACCTCAATGGGGGGCGGGGACCCAAACAATATATACACACGTGAGTAAATGTAAGAATGTTAAAAAAAATTAATAAAATAGTAAAGCCTAAAAAAATATATAAAAAGCAGTAGAGTAGATATTAGTAACCCCATCCCCCCCCCAAAAAAAGAAATCTCTTTAAACTTAAAGGATTCAAAAGCACACGAAAGATGTTTCTTGGGGCTGGTGGTATGGCTCAAGTGGAAGAGCACCTGACTAACAAGCACGAAGCCATGAGTTTAAACCTCAGTACCACCAAAACCAACCAACCAACCAACCACACAAAAAAGCCTAGTTTACTCAACAACATTGCAAGTAGAAAGAATAAGATTTGCAAGTCTGTGACTTTTTGCCTGAGACTGCTACCCAGCCCTCATGTTATGGTGACGGAACACAGCGGGATGACAAGGATAGGATCAGCCCTACCAGCCCAAGATAGAGCTGAGAACACATGTGAGATTTTTTTTTTTTTACAGTACTGAGACTTGAACTCAGAGCCTTCACCTTGAGACATTCCACCAGCCCTTATTTGTGATAGGGTCTCATGAACTATTTGCCTGGGCTGGCTTTGAACCTCGATCCTCCTGATCTCTGCCTCCTGAGTAGTTAGGATTGCAGGCGTTGTTTTTTGTTTTGTCTTGTTTTTTTAAAAAGTGCTTTCATTTTTAAATTTTTATGTTATTATTTTGCAGAACTGTGTTTGAACTCAGGGCCTCATGCTTACTGGGCATGTTCTCTACCACTTGAGCCACTCTGCCAGCCAAAGTTGCCATTTGATTTTTTTTTTTTCTGGTGGTACTGGGCTTGAACTAAGAGTTTTGGTTTTTTTAGTGGTATGGGTTTAAACTTCAGGGCCTTGTGCTTGCTAGACACTCTAACACTTGAGCCATGCCTCCAGTCCATTTTGCTCTGGTTATTTTGGGATCTGGTGGACTGTTTGCCCAGGCTGGACAAGAACTGTGATCCTCCTGATCTCAGCCTCCCAAGTAGCTAGGACTACAGGTGTGAGCCATCAGTGCCCAGCAAGTGGGAAAATCTTGATAGCAAGAAAACTGTTAGGTAACCAGGTGCCAGTGGCTCATGTCTATAATCCTAGCAACTCAGGAGGCAGAGATCAGGAGGATCATGGTTCAAAGCCAGCTCCAGGCAAATAGTTCAAAACCTATTTGCTCCTAGACAAATAGACCCTATCTGGAAAAAACCCATCACAAAAAAGGGTCTGGTGGAGTGGCTCAAGGTGAAGGCCTTGAGTTCAAACCCCAGTACTGCCAAAAAAAAAAAAAGAAAGAAAGAAAGAACTGTTAGGACCGGGGGCATGACAGAACAAAAAAACTGTGAAAGATTCAAAATTTTGAATATGAACTCTGCCCAATTCCCTAGCTGACTGCTAAACTGTGCCTGTCTGGGGGTGAATTCAGGGGACCCAGCAGAAATCAAAAACAAACCAGAGGAAGTTCATTCTAGAAAGACAGAACTCAATAGGGCAAGATCTGTAAATTTGGCTGTTTTTATTTGCTTATTTGCTTTGTAGGACTAGGGATTGAACCAGGGCCTTTGCATGAATTCTGCTGCTTTTTAAACTTAGTAACTATTTCTTATCCCTTTATGACCCAAGGATAGAAAAACGGAAATGTCGAGTTTGGAAGTATAAGAGGACAGACCCAAGGCCAAAGGAACAACTCCAGTGAGGAAAAAAATAAACTATGGAAAAAATGATGCTAAAATTCTGAGGGCTAGGGGCTGGGATATGCCTCAAGCCATAGAGCACCTGCCTAGCAAGCTGGAGGCCCAGAGTTCAAACCCCAGGACCACTAAAAAAAAAAAAACCTGCAAAAGAAGCCAGAGTTGGCAGGTCATGTCTATAATCCCAGCTAGAAGAAGGCGTAGGTAGGACAACCCCAGTCCGAGGCAGCCTGGGCAAAAATTTGTGAGACCTAATCTGAAAAATAACTAAAGCAAAACAGGACTGGAGGATGTGACTCAAGCAGTAGAGTGCCTGCAGGTATTAGTTGAAATCCTAATACCGCCAAAATAGTCAATCAAACTGAGAGCTGGGGTGTGGCTTTGTTGTAGGGTGCTGGCTTAGTTTGAGTGTGATGCACAGGAACTCTGAGCATAAAACAAAACTAAATGCTTGTTTTGTTTTTTCGGGGGCTGGCAACAGAGGGAAAGGGAGAGAGACAGAGAGAGGGGATAGATTTGGGTTTGCAGAAAGACTTGGGGCACCTATTACTTAAAAGCATCATGCTAAAACTTCAGAAGAAAAGTTGAAGAGAAAGCAGGGAAGTTTGTTTTTCCTTTTTCACTATTTGCTTTTGGAAAAAATTATTTATGGAGGCACCATTTATTGTTTCCTACCATCAACAGGTGAAAACCTAGGGAAGAGATAGTAAAATTCACAGCCACCAAGGAACCGCTCTTGCTTTGTTTTTTTTTGAAGGACTGGGCCTTTTAATTGCAATACTAAAAGGCAACCTCTTTTCATGTCAAAATTTAAATTTATTTGGAACAGGTTTTTAAATCCAGGATGATAGATGGGTGCCAGTGGCTCACACCTATAATCCTAGCTACTCAGGAGGCAGAGATCAGAAGATCACCTGGGCAAATGGTTTGCCAGACCTTGTCTTGAAAAAAAAAAACCATTACAAGAAGAGAGCTGGCAGAGTGGCTCAAGTGGCAGAGTGCCTGCTTAACAAGCATGAACCCTAAGTTCAAATCCTAGTACTGCCAGAAAAAAAAATTCAGGAGTCTATGCCCCCATTTCCTGTGTAAGAAGCAGAGATGTTTTTATCTTTCTCCATCCCTTCCCCTTCTCCATACTTCACCCTCTTATACTAAAATAAAT